TCCGCGTTCAGCAGGTGCTTTACTCGAGGCTTTTTGTCGACAGTTTCGACAGACGCTTCGTCTGTGATGAAGATGTGGCGCGTCAAATCGTCCTCCACAAACTCGTTCTGAGGAATAATGGACTCGCCATTGACGGCCAGACAGTGCACATTGCGCACCGATTAAAAATGAAATCTGACTTAGCGGAGTATTCAGCAGCTTCGACAGCTCCTGCTCTTCGTCCAATGTGAAAAAGATCGACTCGTGGTCTTCGCACGGCTTGTTCTTGACGGTACTAGGGGCTGCTAAGCCATACAAATTATGGCATGTTCACAAAACGAACGACTCATGTAAATCAACAGGGTGCCTTTAATGACCGTCTGGCGACGCTATATTTTAGTAATAGAATAATTCTAAATTTAGCGGTTGGAGCGCCTGATTGATGTTCGTGGTGTCCATTTGCGGCCGTCTCTAGTGCCGCTGGAACTTGAGCGCGTCCTGCACGACCTCTCGCACTCGCAACTCTACCTCCTGCATATGATCATCAATGCAGTCTTTGCTCACGTCGTCCAGTCCGAGGCTCTATGCGACCACCTGCAGCAACAGGCTCATGCTGGCTGGTAGAGCAAAATAAAGTGTGACCGAAAGTAGGGCTTCGATAGCTGGACCACACCATGAAGCACCCCCTTTTTTCACAAACAGTCATCCCTTTCTATAAGAGACTTTATATAAGAGACACCCTCCATATAAGAGTCACTGTGTCGCCGAACATTATAAACTATAAAGGTATTTTGTACACCATTCTATTTATAGGCGAGTAAAATATAAGACACGAAAAACACTTGCCCACTTGGGGTGAAAGACCTCTCTATATGACTCTCTACCCCTATCTCAGATGTTGGAAGAGATACGTGGCATATTATGTGACAGTTGTTCTAGCCGAAGATTTGTCTTAAAACCGACTCAGCAACGTCATAGAACCACGGACGTGACCTAGTGAAAGACATAAAGTATGTCACAATAGTCGTGTTTATGAAAATATTTTAAAGATGACGTCATGACGACAGATACAGAAGACGAAATTTAATGCCTTCGTAAGGAAATAGAGAGAAATAAATAAAATTTAATTTTCGTTAATACTCGACTACACCACTGATACAACACGTCCACCCAAGAACATCAATCTTGTGCTATCAATGAGTTCAACAAAGCAAGTTACCCTCTCTCTAGAGCAGAAGTACGCGTTCTTTCAACACTGCAAAGAACGCCAAAGTATCCGCTTTTGCGAAGTGCAGACTTATGTGGGCATTTAGTTCCAGCACAGCATTAGTAAATCAACGGCGCATCGGCTCATAACCATGAAAGATCTCGACTTCGAGGGCTTTAATACAAATGTAGAAACGACGTTTACAGCATCCTGAGTGCGAGAAAGAGCTGCTGGGATTCGTTCTCGAGTGCGAGAGATATGGGTTATCTGAATATCTGGTCCTGGAGAAATTAGACCGCCTGTGAGTGACCCATGATATCCAATATCACGATATCAAGCTTTCTAAAGGCTAAGTAGAGTTTCAAGAAGTAGAAGAACAACAAAATCCGCGCGTTGACAGGTGAGAGCGGGGTTTTATGTATCGAGGATGTGCAAGCAGCAAAGTCTGAGATCTGATATCTGATATAACAGTACAATCCAAGTAATATGTTTAATTTTAATAGAGCAGCATTGTTTTACGACTTTCCACCGAACAAACCCTATCCACGGTTCGAAACACAGCAAGTATAATGTAAAGTCACGCGTAAAAGCTGCTCTGTACTGCAATGTAAGTGGATCTAAAAGCTGGAGCCCATGTTCATCGGGAAGCTCAAAAAGCCAAAGTGCTTTTGGGGTGTGGAGATCGAGAAGCGTGGCATCGTGATCGCTGAGAATTTAAACGCCTGGATTAATATAATTACCTTTGATAAGTGGCTGCACTAATTCAATTTTCAAATGCATGGTCGCAAAGTACTGATACTCCTCGACATGCTTTCAGTCAAAAAGTCCAAGGAGAACTTAGCAACGTCAAGGTGGCATTTTCACGCCTACTATGACTTCCGCCATCCAGCCGCTCGATACGGGTACACATTAGTCTCATAATTCATAAATGTGCGTATTAAATCTGCATTAATCTCCTCATCTACTTATATATGCATATCATATAGGTATCATCCGATCGTTTAAAGCTCGCTACAAGAAACTCCATATGCGACGGTCCATGGATCTGATCGAAGCAAATATCGAACGCACAATTAATATCCTTGAAGCCATTGAGTTTGCAGCTGAGAGCTGGAACAGTATTGGCGGGGAGATCATTCGAAGTTGTAGAATCAAGATAGGGTCATCGAAGCGCCACGGGTAGCAGATTTTGCGTGCACATAACTACTATCGACAGTCCATCCTCGCCTTCTAACAAGACTGCTACGATCTGGCTTTTATCCTTTAAAAGCTTGATGTGATATTTAGCGTGGATTTATATGTCGAATGTCGAGGACCACGAGCAGATTCACGAAGAACAAGAATCTCTGATTGAAGCAGAAGTGGAGCCCGCGGAAGTCGAAAACGACGATGATCAAGCGCCTGTCAGTGCAAAAGGATCACTAAATTGCTGCCTGCTTTTGCGTTCGTAATCCATTCGCTCAGATGAAGACACGCGAATCATGCAGTCAGATCTGGATAAGATGTCGGTGGTTATTCACATGAACCGGCACGCTAGGACGAAACGGCTCAATATGAGAGACTTTATATAGAAGAAAAACGTTGCTTTTCATCATAATCAGCGGGTCTTGCTTTGAAATATATTATGCAACTCCTTCCTCTTAGATTATATATAAGAGACTTTTTAAAGACACGCTGTAAAACTCGGTAAAAAGTTGTCTCTTATACAGAGGGGTGACTGCATTGTGTTGAACAGACATTGAACCGCATTACGCGTCCGTTGCTTCTGATTGGTCAAATAGGGGGGGGGTTACGCTGGGTGTGTGATCGAGCTACCAGGGTCCTAGAAGTACGGTGGAGCTTGCTAAGAGTGGTGTAGCTTGCTAAGTATGGCGGAACTAGCAATTCCTCGAGCTTATTTGTCAAACAGAACGTGGGGCATTTTTCTTTATTTTACATTTTTTAAATATCGGAAACATTTTTTATTATCGTGATTTATTGGACAATTTGTTTTTTTCGTGTTTAATGGGGCATTTTCTACTTTTCCATGATATTACCAACCAATCAGAAGATCCTTAGATCATTGTTACAATTTTGCTGAACCCAGTGATATAGTGGTGAGAATTATCCTTATAATTCTTTATTATCATATTGTCACAAATGATTATATATTATGGAACGGGGTCAACCCGTTCAGTGCTGCTCTACTCTTCTAAATTTCGAGTTATAAATTCATAATACAGCATATTTCGAGCAAATTGTCGCATGAGTCATAAAATTATCTCGTTTGGTTTTGCCTTTGGTGCGCTCGCCCACATTTGCGAGCCAGAACGTAAGCCCAGTCGACTGCATGTAGGTGCAGCATTTATTAGTACCTCGAGTGCTGTCGCACTGGTCCAATAAACTTTCTTCTGTGACACCGGTTTTACTCACGTGTCCACGTAGTTGCTGCTTAGGCAGCATTTCTTATCGAAGTAATCGCTTATCTTCCAGTACATTCGTCAGCAATCGATCATTGGATGAGGACCGATATGGTTACCACTCGTTCGTGTCCCTTCCTTTGAATGTTATTGCCTTTGTTGACTGGAAAGCGGTTGTTATTTTGAGCGTCATGATGTTACTCTGTCATAATCGCCCTCTATGACGGTACCGGTCACACGATCGATCTTGTGGGCAAGGCTCACACCCGACTACATCGTCTCATTCGCGGGCCGCTCCAATAGATTCAACAATTTCAACAATACAGTACTCGATGTGATCGATGTCCAAACTCGGACCCGACTGAATTCGTTTCGCTGGATGCCATAGTTTTGAAACGCAACATCTCCCGTAGTCGGTAGCACCTACTTGCTGTAGCAAGTTTAATGAGACGTAGCGGCTACCCAATCCCACTCGTGCATATTTGGTGCGAGTTTTATAGCGATGAAATTTCGGTTAAATTTTGCGCGAGAAATACCTTCTAAGCAGTGGACAAACCGCTTGTAGCTTTAAGCCTTCTTCGTTCGGTCGAAAGGCGCTAAATTGGAGTGGACGGGGGAAGTAGATGTAATATCTGCACCAATTGCGTGGTAAACAGGCACGACATGAAGCAAAATCTAAAACGTGAGCGTGGCGTGATATGCACAAGCGAAGATAGAATAAGCAGCACTGTAACGCCAAGCAACATCAATGTTCGTATTTCGTCTAATGGGCTGCTACGTTAATAGGTCCTGCTGGTGGCAAGGTACCGCAACTTTTTCCTGATTAAGTCTGGAGCCAGATCGTGCGGATGAAGGCACATTACGAGCGCGCAGGTACCAGGACCCAACACTGCATTCTTGCAAACAGCGACATGTATAGCTTTTTTTGTTACAGGAGTTTTGGGCTGTAGCACTCAGGTGGCTTTGTTTTCGGGCATGCTAATGAGCCATGACTCATGGATAGAGATATTGCATGTTGTATCGAGCAAGCTCGAAACGTTTTAGAGTTGCAGCGCAGTCGCCGATTGTGCAATACGTCATACGCACATACGGAACCCAAAGGACTTCTCGCATATGAGTAGCTGCTGCATGCAAAGAGCCATGGCACATAGTAGTACTGTACGCATGGGCCATCACACTTATTGACGCGTCTTCGTATGCCCAGCAACTGACGCCGTCGATAAGTTTACTTTTTCTAAACGAGACCGTCCAACTTCAACGTTGTGCGTTCAAGTCATTGGATCATGCATGCATGGATGCCTGGCAAGACCTCTCGTTCGTATGTTAAACCCATGACAGAGGCGCCTTGCTGTACATTGGTCTGATCGTAAAAGCAGTGAAAATGCACCGCTTGACATCACCCACAATTGCCTTAACTACCCCACTCGTCTCACGATGCCAGTTGCACCATCAAAGCAAAAATAGTTACAAATTGGCTCGTCCTTTTGTGACATGGCTCGAATCACCTCTTGACCCATTATTCCTGCCAGAATAGCGCATACCGGAACAAGTTCCATGTCCGCGACGCGTACGAGTGCCCTACACCAAAAAATAGAAGTGGTCAACAAAACCGATTGAGTTGATCTTGCCCCACCTCAACGCTTCAGAATATAGTGTTTGATCAAAGCGTACTGCAACTCATCCAGTGAGACGTAATCTTCATCCAATCCGTTGACTACAAGCTGCTTTCTCGCGTACTGGATGAAATCTGCCTCGTCCTTACTAGTGATCGCGGTCACGCCCTTTTGGCTCTTGTATCCCTGTAGCACTGTGTCATCCAAACTTCATCAGCACCCTCAATATGCCCCATCACTCCAACTCACTATTCCGCACATTGGTTTTTGATGAACACCTGAGGTAGCTGAGGTCCACGTTTGCGGGCACTCTGCAGCGAGCTCCACGGAACTTGTTGGGCCTCTGTCAACGTCGGATACGTGACCGTGCACGGGCCGCTCAGTGTCCCATTCGTTTCTCTTGCATCTCGACGAAACGTGTGCTCGCCCAAGTCAATGAACACGATGCCGTTATAGTCGAAGCTCCTGGCAGCATAGAAGGCCGTGCCAATAGAGCGACATAGCGCGTCCAATCTCAGCTCCACGCTCAAGTCAGCCCCCACCAAACACACGGCCGTGAACTGCTTGAAAAAGCCATCGTTCAGGTCGTCAAGCGCTTCGGTCTCAATTCTGACCTGAACTAGTGGGTTCAGTTCCTGCACACGTGGTAGACACGCCACGGAGCGCTTTTCGTACACAATCGAGTACGCAAGCAGATTGCCATTAGCAACGAGTCCAGTTACAATGACACAAGTGTACATACAGAGATATTTTTTGACCGACCTTTTTGCCCACGTCCGTTTCCGATAGAAAAAACTGAGAGGCCACCACCTCTTGCGTGACTAACTGCGAGTCGTGCAGCGTGACGCTTATGCCGGCAAGCACAAGGTTCTTCACGAGTTCCGACCCCAGCACTGACAGTCCGCTGACCAGTACATGCGAGCTCTGCAGCCGCTTCTGGGCCTCTACGCCCCACAGACGCATCTGCCGGTCGTACACGGCTGCCTCGGCCGCTGTGAACGTCGCTTGCTCCGCCATTTGTTTTGTCAAATTATCGAAATTGCGTTTATGCGTTTATGCGATTGAAATCGTTGTATTTGACCCCATTAAAGCGTGTTTTTGAGTCGTTCATTATTTAATTGTAGTAAGAGGTCTATTACATTTCATCCTCATTAGTATACCATATATTTACGTGTAACTGCATGGCAGTTCGTCACCATACATTTTAACAGTCAGTCCACGTCAGTCAATCGTAGAAAGGTGGTGCTTAATGTTGACCACACAATGCACCGAAGAAATATGAGCTCGAGGGTGAGTAGGGCGGAATATGCGTTGGGAATGAGCGCAATGATGCTCTCCGAGCGGTGAGTAAAATAACGAATACTTTACACACCACGTCCAAACGAATCTCTGTTTTTTTGTCAAATCCACGGCAATTTTACAAACTAATTCGGGATGTGAAGAAGTACAGGTCACGTATACATGTATGATGGCTCAAAATTCAGCATTTATATCGACCAACGTACGCGGTAAGATGACAAGAAAAAGCAGCTCAACCATCTCAGTTGGCCAGAACGTCTCGCCAGTGCCCGAAGTAGCCACTAAAGCAAATCTGGGGCACATGCAAAATCCAGCTTCACCTTCGCGTCGATACTAAAATGTCGATGAATGAAGGCGCGACAATCTTGTGCGTCTCGCGTCTATTGCAACAGAAGGAGTGTCGCAAGAAATCGTGGTTGTAGCAGCGCGAGCGTGTAAGATGATGGAAGATACGGAGAACTGCGAGCACGAAGATGTAATTGAATGCTCATCGAAATGCGTGGAAGTATTAATTTCAAAATAGGCCCAATTTATCGCGTCGTACCAGTATCAATCAAGAAGGCCAGATCAACTTGACTCAACAACTAGGCTTGATCAAGCCGTCTCAATGTCTTTCATGCATTTTTGAGCTGTAAAGAAAGCAAAGCACGCCTCTTTTGTGACCAAATGTTGTCACGCAATACCGTCGATGTCGACGGCATCGCTGGTGAAGATAAAGAATAGATCCGATTCCTTTTTTCGAGTCACCGTGATAAGGAGTATGCAGTGCTAAGACCTTACCGCGACTCACCCAATCAATGTACCACGAGATAGTGGAGGAAGTTACTACTCATGGAGACTGCAACCGGACAGGTCAACAGATGCCAATGGTACTTATAGGGGCGCCTGATAAAGGCGGTTTGGATCCACCGTGTCGTCAAGCTAGAGGCCTGAATGAAGCGTACATTGCTTTCAAAAAAACATCAGCTCTCCAGCAATACTTGCTGCAATATGAACAATTCTCAAACACTACCATTGGCCAATTGTACATCCAGACAATGGAAGAAGCACAGTCGATCAAGGTCTGGACATCTTCTTTACACACGATGCGCTGTATATATTAGATAGCTAAGAAAGGGTCAGTTATTACGAGGATGACATGAGAGCAATCATACAGAATCGTAGCAGTTAAATGCGCATAGCGCGACACTGCAAAAATTTATTAAGTTTTTTGAGGTGACTCTGGAACGGAGAGATGTTGTTACCTGTCATTGAAACTAATTATCGCAATGTAAATACAATTTTTATTTATAACAATGATCAATATTACCTGTGTGAGGAAAACTAGAAGAAATATTACCGATAAGTGTTATCTACGGCCGCTCCACATATTAGTATATGTGGTCCATGGTGCTAACCTAATCAACCAGAAATTTATGCTAGACACGTGCAATGGGTCGTGAGAAAGAAACACACATAGGAGACTGTGGTTTAATATAGTTAGATTAGGATGAAAGATAATTTAAAAAGACACATAACTATAGTAAATAACTGTTCTACATCTCCCTTATACAATGCCTTCAAGTCCTGTCTTCTTCTCTGCGCTTCCTCGCCTCGTGTAAATGACGTCAGGTGCACGCACCTTTGTGTTGAATTGACACAAGGGCAATCCCAATTACAACGTTGATACATTACGACGTATATATATTAGTACATGTGCTTAGCAGAAATATAGGTACCTTACTTTGTATATTGTCTAACATTGTTCAATTCGATTCGAAAAGATGTCTGATAGGTCAAAGAGGTAAATGACCTTGTGTGGTAAGTTCTTGGGAGCTACATCGTATACTTGCCAATGTAAAATTATTTTCAAATTAGTCTGATCTGAGAGCCAATTACAATCGGAGCTGTTTCTAACACTAAATTACTGTAACCTAAATAACTACATCATTATTGAAATGTTACGTCAATCGCGTTAGATCTCATGGGAAACATCGACAATATGTTCGATATTTCTTTCTTAAGAGTCACTGATTAGTCACCGAAGAATTTCTTCTCAGCGTTGCTAAGGATCATATGCACGACTTATTCATGATATATATATATATCACTGTTCCGCCATGATTCAATCTTTATCGTGCTGCACGGTGACAAAAGCGTTCTTGCTGTACACCTTTCTCTTCAGCAAGCAATATTGAGCAGTACATATAATATTAAATTATTGTCAAGATTTGCCCGGAATATATTACGGTACGGTTTCATACAAAATGTTACTAACTCTTTCTGATATATAACGCCTGGCTCTCTTTTTTATAGTCCATATCAAACGTATCTGACGTTTTTTTAGACAAAAATCACGGCTTATTGCTTCTTACATGACGCCTCGCCTTCATGTCGAATAATCGATGATCATTCATTAGATTCATGAATTGAGATTTAAGCGTCTTATGTCTTTATATTTTAGAAAGTTTTGCCTCGATTCGAAAACATCACTCTATTCGAACGACTAAACGTTTTGCAAATCTATCAGCTCTCTTATAATTTCAGTATAGTTTTAATTTTGATTTCAACAGCTAAATTTGATTTATTCCAGACCCATATATAGGAATCCGAATGAGACATCTACTTTGCTAATTAAAAATATTTCCGTCCCGTCAACTTTTGCCTTTCTAAAACATATCACCTAAACCGATGTGTATCAGACTAAGATGTAAAAATTCCTGTACTCCACAGCACCTTCTGACACAATCTGACATATTTTCTGAGTACAAATAATGAATTCGCTACTAAACTTTGAAGTATTGAATGGATTGTTTAAATAATATATATTGATTAATTGTAAGTCTAGCGGAATCGAAGTCGTAAATAGTTTACTGTGTGTCTCAGGTCTGCAAGCCAGCATTTTGCTTGACTTAAATGATTGTTTATTTGATTTAATATATTATAAATGACTCAAAAATGATGAAGTAGAAGAAGAACCATAATATCTTGAAAATAAAAAGATAAGCCGATTGCACGTTTCCTAGTATCATTAAATAATAAGCTATAAATTCGTACAATTATGCGCGATCAAGCATGCGAATATTTGGCGTCTCGGGCTGTTTATTAGGCTACTTTACAACCGGAAATATATGGTGTTCCGGCACTTTAAAACGTCTTCTTTAAGTGCATGATACGTTCAAGGTCTAAGCTCTGTTTTCCTCATACCCACGACTATTGGTTCGAACGATGCATCATTCAAACAATTTTTTTGGCCTACATCAGAGTTGCATTTAGCCGCTACACTTTGGCGAATCAAGGAATTGCAGAAATTCTATTATGTATCGCAGACTACAACCTTGTCCGATCGCATGATAATATGTATCTTAGCAAGGCAAAAAAACACTCATTCTGCGCCCTGACGACGCCGGTACTTCCGAACATCGGTCCAGCGTTCATGGCATGGAGTGAATCTGAATTATGTAATTTTTACGATAACTGACTAAAACGACGTTTGCTCAACAGCAATATTTAAATTGACTAACACAACATGTAGGCGCACGTGATTCATTGCCATTTCCATCAGCACTTGGCACTAATTGCTTGACTTTCTATAGCCAAAACACATTTGGATACAAAACTAGTATCTTTTTGGCCAATAATTACGTCATTTGATCCTGTTTACGCTTAGCTTGTCAATCAACAGAAAGACGCTGGATGGGACTCTGACCGCCTTAAGGAAGAAAGAGTACTAAGCATTGTGCGTTAGCCCGTCTCGTAGAAAACTAATCGCTTGCATACTCATGATTAAAGTTTGATTTTATAATACAGCTCGCTTCAAACTATGCAGAGATATATTTTGATGCTAATTTTTTTACCGTCATTGTTTACCCTTGTCAACGGTTCTGCTCTTCGACATCTGCTCCAAGTCTCCTGCCTATTATAGATCTTCAAACCAACAAACAAGTAGCGAAATTGTCTTAATGCGCCAATGTTTGATCGATTGAAGTTGGTAAGTGCGTGCCTTCGGTTATTAGATTTCTTATGCCAATTCACTAGCGCTTAATTATTACTTAGATACACTAACTTCAAATCGGCCAAATTACCGATAAAAGATGTTCGATGCGGGTGAACTAGACATATTATGTAGTAGCCTTTAAGAACCGATTTTGATCGTGTATTACAATTCCTTACCGTTTAGTGGTGCAGTCTTACGCAAGGATTACTTCCGCAAGAGGTCGAGTTCTTTGATTCATAAATCCTCATACTATTAAAAAATCACCCAATATTTTCCTTAATTTTATTGGGGCAGGCGTAAAAATTAAGTTCTCTCCAGGACTAGTATTGCTACCTACCACACCGTAGGACTGTCAAAGTATTTAATTACTTATAAAATCGATAAATAATAATCTATTTCATATTCTCGAGACACTAATACTAGTAATTTCAATAAGTTTTGAATAACAATAATAATTTATTTGTCTGAATATTTGCACATTTCTTCCCAATCACTTTCTACATGTATTCAAAAATCTAGGAATGGATTCGGTAAAACACGAGCCCCGGACAAGCAATCGTTGATTCAGAATCCCGTTAAAGCCACGATTCGCACACGTACCTGTTATTCAAAACGTCAAAATATTGCAGACTTGAATAGGCAGTCTCGCATCGTATGTCTCACGAAGAATTTTGACTATCTTTGTACAAACGATACGTACAATCAGAATAATGAAGACGTCCATACCTATTTTTGAGCATCA